ATATTTCTTTTTCATATTTATGGAAATTAAATATGTAAGCATAGGAGTATGCATAACGTATTTATGTATATGTACCATTTAACATGAACAATGCTGGGGCCACGGAGATAGCTCAGTGGTCTACGTGCCTGCCTGGAATGTTCAAGGACCTGGGCTTGAGGCTCAGTACTGCAAGCCACGCCGGCCCTGTGCTACCAAAACAGGATGTGGTGGTGTATGCCTTTAATCCCAGCACTGGGGAGGCTGGGACAGGATGATCACTAGGAGTGTGAGCTGCATAGTGAGACCCTGCAATAAATAAATAGAAATATAAACTTCTTTTCTTTATCTGGGAATACTTGGTAAGTGCTTCTTACCAACAAATATCATCATGTGCATTTTTAATGAACACATATTATTCTCTTCCGAATATATTGGTTATTGTTTAGCGTCATAAAACAACTTAACACTTGCTGCATATTGAGTTAATTTGAAGTGCATCCTCCGTGCACTTGTTAGGCAGCATATGTAGCTTAATGTGTTGGGATGGTGAGGATTTTGGACACGTGAGATTTCGATTATTTCTAATTTTATTTAAAATGGTAGTGTTGTAACTAGCAAGTGGAATATATATCGTACTCCATTTGCTGTAGGAAATATTAGAATCTAATTAGCAATATGAGAATAGTAATTGGATCTGAGTGTGTACAGATTTAAAAGTCTAACAAAAATAATAATAATAAATTTTGTTCACTTTTCTGGCTGCCAAAATGAGATGGGGGCAAGTAGTTGGGCACATAATGGCAGTCACATGCTTCAGCACCCCTGCACCCTTCTCTGCTGCAGTAATTTGATTACCTGAGTTTCTATGAATAAGCACGTGTTGATTAGTTTACCTGAAAGCAATTTAAAACATGAAAAAAAATCATCTGACCTGAACATAGTGGTACATGCCTTTAATCTCATCACTCTGGATGGTTCAGGCAGAAGGATTAGAAAGACCATATTCAGTCAAAGCAGATAGAGATTAGCAAGAACTAGTAGGGCTGGCCAAAGAGCTCAGCAGATTAAAGCACCTGCAAGCAGGCGCAGGGCCCAAGGGTTCCATCCATCCTTGGGCTTGCTGTGCCAGCCCCGCCCCCTGGCGCCCCTCTGAGA